CCCTCTCCCTCTCCCTCTCCCTCTCCTCCTCCTCCTTCTCCTTCTTCTCCTTCTTCCATGTCCTTTTATAAGGGCTGCCACCAGAAGGTATGGCCCAGATTTAGGTTGGCTATTTCTACCCCAAATGATCCGATCAACAAAATTCCTTGAAAGTGTGTCTAGCTAGTTGGGTCTTAGTTGATTTCAAATGTCAAGTTGACAACCAAGATTAGCCACCACAGTTTCACATACTGATTTATTTCCTCTGAGAGTTCCACTAGCAATGAACTTCCTAGATTATAAAGTGGTTTTGTTTTTAGTTTCTTTCCTATAATTTTTAAATTTATTTTTAATAGGCATGCAAAATACTTGATCTCGTTATGATATTCTTATACGCATGCTCTATTGCATTTTGTCATATCCACTGCCATTCTGCTCTTGCCCTGCTTTGCATTTCTTCTTTGTTTTCCCAAACAGTCCTCTTTATTTTATATTCTCCTATTAATGTCCACATATGTGGCTAGAGACACCTTAAATCTAGACTCTGTACATATGGGAGAAAATACGTGAGAACTGACGCATGTTGGTACTGAGCTAACACAAGGTCTGGAAATGGTTGTGAGGCCCTCTGAGAATGCTGTTTAAACGTCAGCTGTGTGGAGACTGGCAGCACTTGCCATCTTTACCAGACTGTCTCTTGCTCTTGGCTCGAGTCTTGAGCTCCAGAGAAGCAGGCAACATAAACAAGGTCTTGATTCACAGCTGTCCCTCTTTTGTTTTCTGCTTGGTTTCATTCATCATCTACTTCTCATCATTTCCTTATTTCTTGTAATATTTTCCATCATTTTCCTAATTGTCTTGAGATGGAAGTCAGAATTGAGATACATCACTTTTTAATTTAAGTTACAAATGCACATCTAAGCTTTAGCTGTACCCTAAAAGTTCTTGTGTGTTGAATTTTCATTCATTTCTGTCCAATATAGTATACTTCCCACAGATTGATTAAAATCATTTTAAAATTAGTAGAAAATATTTTTAATATTTCCAACACAACCAAATGATAAATGTTTGAGGTGAAGGACAACTAACTAGCCTCATTATACAAGGTCCCCAAGTATTTAAATATCACTCCTTATCTTGTTAATATATAATATATAACTATGCGTAAGTTAAAATAAGATATAAAAGACATTTGAAGTGTAATAATTGCGAACATGAAGAGAACACTTAAACATTGCCAGTGGGAATGTAGATTAGAATGGCATTGTGGAAAACATGAATCTTAAATGGTCTTATTAATAAAAACAAACTTGGAGCCAGGTATTTGGGTAAACACTGAAAGATCAAAGAAACAAAACAAGTCACAGCCAACCTCACCTCACCAATTCTTCAGCTAATCTTGTTTCCTCAAACTGGAAGCCTCTGTGTCCTCATCCGAATGGATCTCAACTGAACTGTTGCTAAAAGCCTAAAAGCTTAACAAGGACTCTAGTTCCTGGTCCTCACACCTTATATACCTTTCTTCCATCACTTCCTGGGATTAAAGGTGTGAGTCACCATGCCTGGCTGTTTCCAGTGTGGCTTTGAACTCAAAGAAATCCGGATGGATCTCTGCCTCCAGAATGCTAGGATTAAAGATGTGTGGCCACCATTTTCTGGCCTCTATGTCTATCTAATGGCTGTTCTGTTCTCTGACCCCAGATAAGTTTATTAGAGTGTACAATATATTGGGGGACACAATATCACCACAGGGGGGTCTCAAAATAAAAGTAACAAAGGACTTCCATACAAGCCAGCAAACATATCCTGGCTTTACACCTGAAGAAATAAATAAGATCATTGTCTCAAAAGGATGTCTACATTTCCATTTTCACTAGAACCAACAGACAGAAATAACCTGAGTGTTCATCAGTAATCAATAATGGATAAGGAAAATGGTGTGTGTGTGTGTGTGTGTGTGTGTGTGTGTGTGTGTGTGTACATGTGCATACACAATAGAATATTATTCTGTCTTTAAAAGAACGAAAGCCTGGTGGTGGTAGTACATGCTTTTAAGCCCAGCACTTGGGAGGCAGAGACAGGTGGCTCTCTCTGAGTTTGAGGCCAGCCTGGTCTACAAGGTGAGTGCCAGGACTGTTACAAAAAGAAATTTTGTTTTGAAAGACAAAATAAGTAGGTAGGTAGGTAGATAGATAGATAGATAGATAGATAGATAGATAGATAGATAGATAGATAGATAGATAGATAGATAGATAGATAGATAGATGATAGATTGAATAGATCGATAGATAAATGATAGATATAGATAGATGATGAAAGAAAGAAAGAAAGAAAGAAGGAAGGAAGGAAGGAAGGAAGGAAGGAAGGAAGGAAGGAAGAAAGAAAGAAAGAAAGAAAGAAAGAAAGAAAGAAAGAAAGAAAGAAAGAAAGAAAGAAAGAAAGAAAGAAAGAGGGAACA